TTTATATATAGATAGATATATATATAGATAGATATATATATTTAAATATATATATATGAAAGAATCTGTAGTGAACAGACGGAACCACAGTTGGGTCAACTTATTAATGAGACATGGAAAGAAAAAAAGGCCTTGGCATCTAAATTTAGTAATATTGAAATATGGAGAACACCTACTCAGTTTCATGATATGTAACACATCTGTTTATTAAAATCAAAGTCATTTCTTTGTTCTTAGTATACAAACCAAATAATCCTGCCTACTTACCCCAGCAGAGCTCCAGCCAAGTCCTTTAACAGGAAACAGGGAGAGAGATCTGCATTCAGGACTCGTTTTTCAAGCCTAATATGCAAAACAACCTACCTCATAACTATCATTAGAAGATGAAAAACTGATAACATGATCTGGCAATTCTCAAAAGGGATCTTAAAAACCTTCTGGCTTAGTCCCAGGTTTGAGAATTAAATATTTATCCATAGTCAAGTCCAAATGCTGCAGTAAAAGTTAACAGGGCCCTATAAACAAGTTTCTCCCTTTCATACCAGACACCAACCAAGCCTTTCTCTATCATTCCTCCTTTCCACTATGGTTGTACAGTATTCATATGGACAGCCTGGGGAAACCAAGGAATCCTAGGTGGAATGGACAGAGAAGACAGGGCACATGTATGAGTTTTAAAAGTAGACAATAAAGTAGAATTTTTATCACGTCAATTGCGAGTGGAAAATACTGACTAGTAAATACAGTTTTCAGGTGAAATCTAATGTCTACAGATGCTGATTGGTTTTAATCTTCTAATGACTTTAAAATCTCATAATATATGTATTTAAGGTAACAAGTAAGTCAATGGAGAACTAATCTGCTGGGTACTACTGTGTATATAAAAAGTGCATCTAATTCAGGCATACCACAAGCTGAAATGCAGGGACCCTGGGAGACTGTTTCACTTCTGGCTTTACAACATTAAAGTAAATGGACGACTGTTGTGTGGAAGTGCATAGGAAAGAATACACGTGGTTAAAAACAATAATGTTATTTTTCTAAAGAAAATTAAAAACCAGGTAAAAGCAAAAAAATTCATTAAGTCAAAACTAAAGCCAAACAAGTGTCTTGACAGTGAATCAGTTTTATTTTCCAAGCATTACCTGTTGTTCCCCCGGGGAATATCTCGGAAGACTGTCAGCATAAAATAAATTGGTTATGGAAAAAAAATATGAGGTTAAAAAGGCCACTCTGCAAAATTTAGCAAAATGGAGAGAAGTACTGCTAAACATAATACCATATCATTGGGTGAATCAAATCAGAAAGGTGTTTACATTGGTCTTTTTGGTTTGGTCTTTTTTTGTCATGTTAATCTACTGAAGAGAGTGGAATAACACCTCTTTCGAAGCACAGACTGCATGCCTCTAGTTCTTCCAGGGAGTTAAGGACCTCTAAGCCAAACCAGTATCTGATCAGTTCCTCTAAGACCAGCAACAGAGGGGTGAGAGAATGCTTATACTTTTTCCTAAACCTTACCTCAGTGCTCATTTCTGTATTTGATAGCACAGAAATAATCTGCTAGATCTCGGGCAAGTCTGAAGACCTGGCAGTGCAGTGCTGGTATGATATTACCTGAATTACTTAGATTACTGAAAATGCTGAAATATTTTGCAAGGCTTCCTCAATTTGCAAAAAAAATAAAATAATTTTTTTAAATCTATGCAGAAATCTGATAAACTTTTGGAAAATAGTCATTCCTCCAGTGGGTACTGTTTCTTGCTTCTATATCCTTTAAGGAATTAGTCTTAGGCCCCCTTAGTTTCGGGAACTCCCACGGGAGTCTCTCAGTATACCAGAACTGCTCTTGGCAGAAGATAACCATAGCCTGGTAACCCTTCCTGGATTTATTGCTTAGCAGTAGAAACTTGTCTTTAGGCATTGCATGCTGATTTCCTATGCTGATTGTTTCTGTATCTTTGACTTTCATTTGGATTATACAACTCTGTGTCTAGACTTTTTATTTTATTTCATTTTATTGTTTATGCTTATGACATGTGTGATTTGTTTGTACAATTACCTGGAACGTATGTAGACTTGCTGCTGGAGGAGACACATAGCCCTGATCCAGCCAGTGTGTGGTTGAGTGAATCAACCATCTAAATTATACCTCCAGAGTAGATTGGCAGTGACCTATCGCTGCAAGTGAGAAAGCCAAAGAGCGTTTGTGAGAAAATATGTAGACACAGTCCTTGAGAGAAGCAAAGGACCAAAGTTTTCACAGGTGTTTTATTTTGAAGAAATGTAATGCCTCCCTGTCTTCTTCCTCTTTCTCTCTCTTGGAAAAAAAATAAATCTAAGTTAGCACTTTACTTCTCCCACTGCAATCTGACACAAAAGACCTTCTCAAATAAATCACTCGTGCAGTTGTCTGGTATGACACAGTGTCAGATGCTGTCTTTTTGATAAGTTCATTTCCTAAGCAATTTGTTTAACCCTTTTTATAGACATTGTTTTCTCTGACTAAGTCGTGAGTCATTTTCAACACATGAGTACTCCAGGGAAATGTCACACTCATCGCTTGTTTCTCTGCCTGCTTGGCTTTGCCGTATGATTTTTATAAGGCAAAAGACAAAGTGCTTCCTTTGGTGTGACCCATTCTACTGATAACTGGCTGTCCTTGGCTCCAATTGGGCTACTCTATAGATTGATCTTACAGTTGTTATAAGGCCAATGAAGTTTTTGGGAAAGACCCCCCCCAAAAGTACCAAGCAAAATGAAGGGGCTCTTAGGAGCCCGTTAGGAAGGGTACCACTCATCAAATTTGTGCTCCGACTGTAACTTCTTGTATCTCAGAAGTGAGTTCCAAGTTGCCCTCAAATAGCCACCACCAATATAATGAGGTTGTCTAGGAAAAGTCAGTGATCCGTTTTCTTCCGAAGAACTTCCTTTAGGATCCAAAAGCTGTCATTCACCAGAACAGATGCACTGAGGGCTTCTAAAGGATCTTGCTTGTTTTTACCTCTTAGGGGAAAAAACCCTGCCATTTTACAAAAACCTCCAAGTAGTGTATATTGTAAACATCCTCCTAAATTCAAAAAAGTGTGCCCAAACTGCTTTGGATTTTCCTTGCCAAGGACAAGTGTTTGCACCCAATCGCGGTGACAGAAGGCAAGAGCAAAGACTATGGCAATTTTGAAAGAAAGCTCCCCTCAGGAGCTGACTTCTAAAGAAGAAAATGTAATTATTAAGGGTCCCGGGCATGCCTGCTGTCACAAGAAAGGAGTGTCCCAAAGACTGTTCCAAGATTCTGCAGTTGGCAGCTATAAAAGTTATCTAATTCAATGTAAGCACAAGGCTCTTGTCATCTCTCCCCCACTACCTTCATCCTGCCCTTTCTCTCCCTCTCTTTTTTGTTCAAAACTCTACAATCCTGAACTGTATACTTCAGTGGTCTGATGATGTTTTTAAAAAGAAAATAAGAAAAGTAAAGTGGTGTTGCCTTGTAGTACAATTTGGCTTGTGGCACACATGTCCTTGAAAACCAGGTACCCTGTTTGCGATCTTAATCTTTCCTGAATGGCTGTGGTGCTACAGCAGCATAAGCCTTACACCTCTGGAGAGTTTATCTAGGGGACCCAGTGTAGATCCCTTAGATTGCCTTTGAATGTTCTGTTCTTTTCTCTAATGAGTTACTGCTGGTTGTAAGCACCCTGTACTTCAAAGGCCGAAGGGCATTAATCATTCTCTTCAGGTTTATGTGATGAGAGACATGGATGCTGGAATTCCTACCATGGAGAGACAATTGGATCCTGGCCACTCCTTGTCAGGGTAACTTTGGAGCTCATACCCATAAAGGACTGAAGCCAAAAACCTTTTGTCAACATTTGGGTTGGTACTGAAGGAGAATGAGTGTGTTATGAAACTCTTTGCTGATCATGAGACTATTCCAGCCTAATTACGTCATAGAAACTTTTGAAATCTTCTTTGTTCTGTCTGTAGGGCCATACTGTGGTAATGTGATGCCCGTCCCCAAAGAAATCATTCTGGACAGCAATGAAGCGATGATTCACTTTGAGAGCAGATCCCATGTGTCAGGACGAGGTTTTCTGTTGTCCTATGCCAGTAGTGATCATCCAGGTAAAGTGAAATCCAGAAGTATTCAAGGATTAGAGGCATAAGTCCCCCTTATTTGTCTTCTCTACACACACAGACTTTAGCCCAAATGTTTGGTCCTAAAGATTTCCAGATTAGCATTCATCATAATATTTTTAATAGCATGTGTGGAAGAAGCAGTTGTAACATTAACCAGATATAATAGCTGCTGAAATATTTGCAATACAGGCCCAGTGAAAGAGAAAATGAGTACTTTTTTCTTGAAGCTCCACTGTATTCTGGGTTCCAGCATCTACCACACAGTGATAGGATGAAGGCATAGGAGAGATTTAAGATTTGATTCCTACATTTAATGTTCTGACGGTCTGTGTGACTTTGTTGAAGGTGTAAAGCATAGTAGAAGAGAGAGATGAAAAGAAAGAAACCGTAGCTGTTGCTTTCTTTCTAATAAAATTGTTTTAAGTATTATACAGAGAGATCTTTAAATGTAATTTCACGTGTAGCCAAATATTTGTTTGTATTTCTGCATCCTGCAATGGGGATTGACATTTGTAAACTTTTCACAGATCTAATCACATGTTTGGAAAGAGCGAACCACTACACAAAGGCTGAATACAGGTAAAGAGGGTTTGCAGCTATCCGTGCTGTAGCTTTCATCTGGTCCAATTGTTAGAAAATGTCATCTAAGGCAGGTACAGTCTTGTTTTTCTGGAGAAGTGAATTTTTTTGAGCTCTGCTATAATAGTCCAAGGTCCAGTTGCGAGAAGCAGCAGTGCAGAAGGGAAGTCTGCAGCCCAGAAAAATGAGGGCATAGAGTTACAGACCAAGTCTCATTTGGGTGTACATATACATGGTATATGTAAAAAGAGTTTCTACTTTGAAATTCAAAGTAGCCTCAAATTCCAGTGCTTCTCCTGAGAGCAGATCACGCCCTTGCTGATACAAGATTATCGGAGGACAAGCTATAATTTCTTGGTTCCTTGAACCTTGTGATAGGATTTCAATGATAATAAATTGTGCTCTTCTGGCTGCTGTCTGGATGTGCATGCAGGCTTCTTATCTGGGCTGTGCTGAAAACTTGCATGGTAGCATTTCTAGAACAAGAGAATTAAATAGAAATGCCCTTGCAAAACTGCTTTTCTGGTTCTTTGTGTGCTGCTGTTTGCAGTCCACTCATAAACCCAAGGGCCAATTCATTTTCCTCCTAGACTTACCAACAGACCATCAGCCAGAACTTACTGCTAAGATATTTACTGATTTGAGAGCATTTATTTTGTACCAGTTTGTTTTTCTGTATATTGTCACTACAGTTCACATTTTAAACAAGCCTCTCTTCTCTCACTACAGCAGGTACTGTCCTGCTGGCTGCAGAGACATAGCAGGGGACATCTCTGGCAATGTCGAAGAAGGATACAGAGATGTAAGTACACAGAATAATGAGGGAAAATTCACAGAGACAGAAGAAAGAAGCACAGCACAACCTGGTTTCAACTTTTGCTGCTTGACTTTTGTCAGTAATTCTTCCCAGCTGTGTTAGATACACCTTTCCTTATCAGTATATCAGTATGTTATCAGTATATAAGCACACAGAGACACTTTTCAAACAGATCAATCAATTGTGTGAGAACAAAGTCCACTGTCAAATACACCAACTGACTTGTGGTTTCTAGCTTTCTGGAAAAACCTGCATAGGGTTTGTCCCCCTTGAGGCAGTGCTTATCGATCTACTAAACATTCCTGTGACTTCAGCTTTTACTTGTTTGGAGTCCACGTGTATTTCTTTTCTAAAGTTCTCTCTTGTAGGAAAAAAGCCAAACTTGAGTAACATGCAGATTTTCTTGAAGATTATGCCCAGCAACCTGCTCTGAGATGAAATAAATATTATACATTGCCTAATCATATCCCACAGATAACTACCAACCTCTTGGGCTGTGTTAACTGCTCATTCTTTAAAGCAAAAAACCTCCCTGGGTGGTTGCATTTATCCACAGTTGGGATCACACACTGATCCCTCTGCCCTGTCTGTATCTCTCACTCTGGACTCTCCTCTCATCATGCCTGTGAAATCTTTGTCTCTGACAGTAGAGTAAGTTTAACCATACCACTGAAGTAAAATCACAGCCTATCACAAATACAGAAGTTGCTGAGTTTTCAAAAAGTCAATGTTCACCTTCAACCTGTTCATCCAGTTATTCGAGCACAGAGCACACGGCTCCAGCCTGGAAAGTGGCAGAGCTGAAAAAACAAAGAAATGCCACATTACACTCTGGTTAGCTGGAGTTATTCCTGCCCTTCCTTCGGGTGATTAGGAAAGAAAAGCAGCACATGGCATGACCTCATGCTGATCCTATCTGCGTTTAGGAATTTTTGAAAGAAATCTTCCCTCAACCTTCAAGGGGATTCAGCTTTTCTGGTGGGAAGGACCTCCGGGCTCCCCTGGAGCCCTGCTGCTGCCTTTGTGTTCCACCCCTCCCTGGAGGGGACAGCCTGGCACCCCATCATGAGTAGTGTAGCCCAGGCTGGGTCCCTGTGAGGGAGGCCAATCTCTGCCAGCAGCCCCTGGAAATGTCTCTTTTGCACCTTTCCGCTGGCTCGGCTCTGCTCTGCCCTGCCCTGCCCCAGCTCAGTGGTACACTTTTGCCACCTAGTCGGCACACAAGTTGTCCTGCCTGCATTTTTCAGCTTTATCCCACCTGAGATATTGGCAAATGGGCTTGCCTTTGACTTTGCCCCAGGAGTGACACAATACTTCCTAGGTTAAAATCTTACAGCGCCTTCTCAGAAGCAGATTATTTGCTTTTTCATTTGAAAAATGAAGGTGACTTTTAGAAATGCATTTTTTTCAAAGCTTATGGTTCTTCCTCCCTCCCCTGCCTCTCATTCCTCCTGAGCTGTTGCCAGATTTTATGAGCTTTAACACCTGCATTTGAGTGGCTTGGAACTGAAAGCATTAGCAGTTTGTCAGATTGATCCTCTGAGCTTTGCCTCCCGATGGCTTCTGCCTTTCAGACCTCGCTGCTGTGCAAGGCGGCAATTCACGCAGGCGTCATCGCGGACGAGCTGGGCGGCCAGATCAGCGTCACACAGCAAAAGGGCATCAGCCACTACCAAGGCATCGTGGCCAACAGCATCCCCTCACTCGAGTGAGTACTGCTGGCTGGCGGGGCTGGCTCTGGGAGCGACCCCCGGGGCACGGCGCGCTGCCCAGATCAGCAGAAGCAGGTGGGGATGCTTGTTTTTGGGAGGAAAGGATGTTAGCTGTGGGTCTAAGGGTTTTTGGGCTTTGTTTCTATGGCTTTATTAAAATGGTGTTGGCATTGGATACAGGAAAGTGTTCCAAGTTTTTAGTAGCTCCGTATCATGTAGGGTGGTATTTTCTTCTTTTTTTTTTCCTTTCCCTTCCAAAACATATTTGCAAATTACTTTGTTAGCAGACACATGAAAGTACGATGTTCTGCAACAAACACCTTTAATTGATGTGCTAAATCATGATAAATTCATGTTAAAGCTTAAAAAAAGTTAGGAAGAATGAATAAACAGAAAGTGTTGTTGAGCCATAGGGGATTTAATGAACAACTTCTTAAACATTGTGCTTTTGATATGTTCAGAGTTTTTCTTGTTTAGTATATTTATAGCAAGGGTGTTATATTAACCACTTATCTTCTGATTTTTAATTGTACTGTTGTTAAAGTAAATCCTCTAATCTCTTTCCAGCACAGTAAGCCCTTCCAGCAACTGCCTCTGTCATTCCTGTTAGTTTATATTTTTTAATTTTCAGACATTATCTGGATTTTATGTGAGGCCTTTTTTTTTTTTTTTTGTAAGAAGGGAAATCTCCTCAGTCCCATAGCCTATGAGAGCTAAGAGAATATGCCTTTTTTATACTTTTTTCCTGTTTTCCCCATGATTTTTCCACATCATCCTGACAATTTTAGAGTCATGGTGTCATTCATGAAAAAAAAAAAACCCAACAACATTCATTTGGCCTGTTGTTGTGCTTAAACTTAAGCACAGATTGAAATTCTTAATATGTAATGGCACTGGAGTATACAAAGCTGGGTAGCATGTAGATCACTAGTGGAAGGTCCACAAAGCCTAAATAGTTCCCATTTTTCTTATGTATTGCTTGAAAGCTAATTTTCTGAGAAAATTAATATAAGCTGGTGTTAAGCAAAGCACAACTGAGAGCTCAGCTCAGGCACCAACGCCTTTCATAAAACAAATAATACACATTCTTCCCATCACACATGCCAGATTAGTGAAACCCTAAATTAAATATTTTGTGCCTTAACTAAAGATGTTACAGAACCGTTTACATACATTCATATGTTTGTAATCCTTGAGAATCCCAGAAGGAGTAACTCAGACAGCAGTCCATAAAATGCTGTAATGAAAGGCAGCCAGGATTCCCATTTGTATGTTTTTCACAGTACTAGACCTAGTAGGCAATGACTGAAGTGTAGAAGTCAGCAAATGTACATATGCTGGGGGAAAACACAGTTTCCATAATTAACCCATAACCTTAAGTGTCCTTTAAATGCTGCTATTCACAAAATATCTTATACCTTTCACATGAGTGACAGAAATACTCACAGAGATGGAAACGTACCTCTATTAGACCAAGTGGGAAAACTCCCATTTACTTGAAGGAGAGCTGAAACACATGCTCCCAGGCTGAAGTCAGGCTCTAGGGCTTGGATTTAGCCCATTTAATGTGAGGCTCCTAAGGAGCAGTGCAGTCCCCTCAGCTCTCCTACATGCCAGGGCAGATGGGGGCACTCCTTGAGCACGATGCACATCTCAAAGGGACTGAACAACCCTCGCTTTCTACCGACTGTACAAGGAGCCATAGGTAAACAGGCTCATACTGTGTCAGATGCCTGCAGGCTAGATGGCATGGATTTTGAGTAAAATGCGAGTGTGAGCACAGCGCTTCCTGGGGCACTTCTGCTGCTCCTGGCAGCTGGGACAATGCCCGGAGCAGATGAACTGCTGGCATAATAATATCTGAACTGCAGATAACTCCCATTATTCCAGGAGAGGGAAATTGGAGGATGCAGGGAAATCCTTTTATTTCAAAACATGAAAAAGTGTTCCTAGAAACAGTGGGCCTGTGTACTAAGAAAATGAACCAATGCATTTCATGCTTCGAAAAGGCTTTTTGTAAGAGGTTATTTCCAAAGCCTCATGGCTTCCCTGTCCTCGGGATACCTACACGCTGCAAGAAATTCCTGCGGAGCAGCCACTGCTGGCGAGAAAAAAATGTTGCTTAGACATCGAGGCTTTAAGAGCTTTTTAGACTCCCTTACATAAAAGCTTACTCAAGTTTTTAAAATCTCATTTATAGTGGATTTCAGTATTAAAGATTTAAATTATTTAGCTAGGAGCCGAAATTGACCTCATCAAAAGCTGCTGCTGGAGTGCATTGAGCTGTTCAATATTGGTGTTGTAAGGTGGCAGTGGAGTTACCGCTCACTCACTCGCCAGCCCTCAAAAGCTGACCTTGGCCTCCCAGACTCCATTTTTCTGTGCACTTGTTACTCTCTGGCATCTGTGAGGCTTTTGGATCTCATGATTCATGTGTGGACCTGCACCCGCAAATGCTATAATAAAGATCAAGTGTTTGGATTTATTGGGCAGTCGCTATACCCCACTGCCAATATACGGAGATTTATCTTTGAGTCATGTGAGCTGGCCTGTGATCGTACATCCACGCATGTGAAATCATTTGTCTCTGAAAATGCATGAGACCACATGCTCATCAACTCTGAAAGATGAGATTAAGGGTTAACCTGCACTGCTTATACAAATCTTGCTTGAGACTGAAGAGAAAAAAACAGAAATTTATTATGGGAAGCAATATCCTTTTTTTGCAGAGCTACCAGCATGGTCTCCTGTGCATTCCCACCACCAGTACTGTTGGCTAGGCAGGATTCTGAAGGTTGTCAGGAAAATGAGGAGCATGGGGTGATACCATCGCTTAAAGGACACAGTGAAATTGGTGTGACAAATGCCACCTGTCACATTAGGAAACTGATGAATTACCACTTACTGAATTAGTTTGTCCTCTTCAATGACTTGCAGAATTATAGTAGAAATATTTCAGCTTGATTTCATAGCTTTATAGACCTTAGAAATGCTAACTTTACCCCTTACTTTGCTAAAATTACAGTCCTCTACTTTAAAGAGATCTGGGTGACTTTTTTATTACAAAGCTTTATCTCATAAATAAGTATTCGAGGAGTGCTGTGATTTCTGTTTTGGGTTTTACTGATCACTGTAGGTGTTTTTTCTTCTCTTCTCTTGAAATGGATTGCTTTGCATTCACTAAGAAAGCAAAAATTGTTTTGGCTGTAATGTCAAACTGGTTTCAAGCCAGCAGAGCACATCTGATCGTCGTGGAGGATTGCCTGGGGGGAAGATGTGGGAGGGAGGGCTTGAGTTTCTCCTTCTAGATACGCCTACATGCCCAAATAAATCAGCTCCCTCCCAGTGCTCTCCGTCATCTCTGAAGGGCTTCGTTTGCCTGTAGTCATTAGTTTTCCCTCAGTGACAAAAAGAGGCAGTGTTTTTATTGACCTTGACATGGGACCACTTTCCTATTCCCTGTTTGCGGTGCTCTCAAAACATACAGCCCTGCACACTGCTGTGAGCCCTCAGACGCTACCTCGGGGGAAATTTTCCTGGCCAGCAACAAAGGGCAGCCTGAAAAGGAGCTGTCTTGATGCTTAAGTGCAGAAGTTGTTTTACTGCTCAGTCACGCTGGCCAAGGCTTTTCAGAAGGGCAAGCGATGTGTGCAGCTAATCGGAGAGACATGGAAGGGGTCAGATTTTCAAGAAATCTAAACTAATTTCACGTTAAAACCCAGGCTTTTTTTTTTATCAGGCATCCAGTCACAGTCATCACTTTTGGAATAAACCCTCAAGGGCATCTCATTGGGAATCTGGAAGTGGTTCCATGGGAGGCCAAAAAAAGCACAGCTTTCCCTTACAGTGGCGATTTTATCTTGTCCTGCATTGTACAGAGTTGCAGAGTGGCCCAAGAAATGAATGTCTTTTCTCCTGAAGCAATGCAGTCCAAGTCAGAAGAAGGGAAAAAAGGGGAGCCAGAGATGTGGTCCTGTTAAGTGACCTAAAATGAATAATGGAGCTCTTGGTCATTATTTCAACAGAACTGGTTCCCACCTAGATTAAAACAAGGAGTAGTTTTCATTCAGTCTGGCTGCGATACACTTGTAGCCCAGGTAGGAATGGTCAGAGATGATGTGGCTTAGTCACCATCAAGTGTAATGGACGGTGCTCAAGGCTGGATTTACCACAAACTAGATGTGGACTAATAGAAAGTAAATGATTCTAAGTTAAGCTCTAATTTAAGCTACTATAGGTGAGGAGAGACCTAGGCCTGAGTGCACTGCTAGTAGCTTCAGGCCCTGTTAGCTTTCCTGTTCCTGGCTCTTTGAATGCTTTCACATTGCTGGTCTGAGGAGCAGAAGGGGAAAACTTTCCCACAATGGTACAGGGCTGTGCACAGGAGAAAAGCAGAAGTGTGCAGCAAAAGCAACAGGTTGATGGGACGAGGAGCCATTTCAAAGCATAACAAATGCTCAAAACCATTAAAATAATGACCTGAATTCAGTCATGGTGAGAGGTGCACAAGAGTGCTCTTACTGGGGTGGGTAACCAGCCAGCAAAGTAAGTGGCTGTCTGACCAGAGATACTTTGCTAGATAAAACAGTGATTCTGAAACTGTACCTCAGTGTTCCCATGACTGCTTCCCAAAAAGCTGAATTACCTTTTCTTTTCTTACAGTGGTTCGCTGTCAGATAAACGGTTTATATTTACTTCAAATGGTAAGAATAATGGCTTTATTTTTAGCTATTCAAATTTTACCTTTTTATTTAAGTATCTTCTATAAAAGTTTTGAAAAGTAATCAGGAGGATGTCAGGCTGCATCTAGGAAGGATATTTTAGGACAGCAATTTTTTAAAATGGGCAATTTGAATAAAAAAATTGAAGAGATGTGAAGTGAGCTAGAAAAAACCCCAAAGAAAAGGAATAGGTCATAAGCACATAAATGAGAAACAGAAATAGTATTCTGCTGTTACATTTGTGGTGCCAGAATATGAAAAATGGCAATCAGATAATCCCATTTTTATGTACTTTAGGCAGCAGAAAATTAAAGCAGTTTTTCTTCAGCCATTTATAAATTCCATCTTCGTTATACAAGAAGAGAGTGAAAACAAAGAGGAATGAAAATATATTTACATTGCACTGATACAAAACGAGTTTTTGTTTATGACTTTCCAAGATGCAAAAGCATCTTTAATCTGTCAAGCTGTTAATTTGCATAAAACATAGCAAAGAAGGGGAAAAAGTTCACGCTCATTCATTTCCATTATATTTCAGTCATCTGAGATAAAATCATTTACTATTCCACTGAAAACTGTAGAGCATGCATAGGCCTTTGAAACTGCCAGGGAATTATTTTTAAGTGCATTGAAACCTTATTCCACTGGCCCGTTTCTCTGGAGAACCTTGATGTGCAGAAATTTTGTGAGCTCTTTGGTGAAGTTTGCAATACTTACCTGCAGCTATTATCTTCATGATATCACCTCTTGGCAGCAGTATCAAGGAGCTTCTCAAATGAATAACTATCCTAGCCCTAATCACAGGTGAGAATCATGAAATATTTGCAGAAAAGTATTCCTCTCAGTACAGTGCCTGCATCTGAGAAATGTTTCATACAGCAAAATTAGTTAATGCCAATCTTGAAGCACAAATATTATTTTTCAGAAGGAAAATTTAAAAATATAATAAGTCTTCACAGGAACGAGACTAAACCACAGAGATTGAAAAACAAAATGGCAAGGAAAAAAACAGCAGATGTAGTCAGAAGGTGTCATGTATGTAGGAGTTAAATTGGTAAAAGAGAGGGACTGCAGCACTCTGGTACTGGATCATCTACTACAAACTGACTGACAAACACCACAGCTAATGGATAGCATCAGACTAGCACTAGATTAAGCAACATCTGACTTTGCTGTTGTGGGTGGTCTTCATATGTTGCTAGCCTAATGTAAAAATATGCTGTGAAAACACAAAATAACTCCTGTCTGTCTGTCTGTGTGGGGACTCCTAGGCTGCAATAAATCTCTCAGTCTGGAAGAGGGATTCCTCTCCAAGAGCCAGATTACTGCATCTTCCTACTGGGAGGAGACCAATGAATTTGGGCAGCTATTCCAGTGGTCTCCTGACAAGGCTTGGCTTCAAGTCCCAGGATTGGCTTGGGCATCTAACCACAGCAGCAATCGTGAATGGCTGGAGATAGACCTGGGAGAGAAGAAGAGAATAACAGGTATGTGAGTGTTTGGTTATTAGAAGCTGGGGTGTTGGCTGGAGAAGAAAATGAATGCAGTTGAAGAGATAATAATGCACTAATGCAACGGTTCTTTCATTAAATGTAATGAAATGTTCTGCATTGAGGCATATTATTTTCATATTTAAGAAATCATGGCTACTTATTATAAGACTGGTCTTCCTATAGACATGTAGGACTGGACTCAACTGTCATGCATGCCTGATCTGTGAACATGCTGTAGGCTCAGAACAAAATACTTACACAGGAGCTATTAGAGCATGGATGAATGACAAATGATTACTTAGACCTATTAATGATGCAGTTCTGTAATCAGTAAGAATTAAAGTCATAGCCTTGAAATAATGGCCCAGGTGAAAGAGATTCCTGTTTCCAACTCCTGGTTTAGTTGTAGAAATGTAAATTACATTTGCTGCTAAAGTTGTAAAGACTGCTGAGATGGACCATAATACCAAAAAACAATTACCAGTTTTGGAGTCATTAATCTGAGTTGTTAAAAATTCTATTGATTTAAATTCACAATTTAAAACCGATTTCCAATCTTCACCCAACTTTTAAATTCAGTAACCACCCCTGAATTTCAACATAGTTTGAAAAATGAATTAAGACTTTGAAGGCAAAGTTCTCAGAATAATTTTGGCTACTGTGATAGCATTTGAAAATTATCTTTTTAAAAAGACACCGAACAAATGAAAAGGTATTTTGCATTTTGTTAAAAGGTATTAAGACCACTGGTTCTGGATCTACTATGCTGAATTTCAACTTTTACGTAAAGACATTTACAATGAACTATAAAAACAACAACTCAAAATGGAGAACTTACAAAGGGATCCTGAGCAATGAGGAAAAGGTAAGGGAAAGTGGGAGGGGTAGGAAAACCCAGAGCAATGTGTACCCTGCCTTGACATTGAAGGACAGGCTTTCACTGTCAAGAAAGATTAGAAGCTTCAGACTTGTCTGGACTTGGGTCGTCTTCACCAGTGTAATTTACAGCCATGGAGTAGGTAGTGAGCTTGTTGAAACAAGGAAGTTATCCAGGGCTTGCTGAAGTTGTGAGACACACAGGGAGCCATGTTTACATGTGTATCCTTTTTAAAAAAAACTGTGTAATTAAAGATGTAAAACAGCAGTTTGGGTAAGTCTTTTGCTCAGCTTAGCACTTTTCCTGCTAGGAACACTGTATTGATGCAGAAGAATTGGTTGGTAGGGCATCAGCAAAGCTGAAATTCAGCTTCAGGTGCACTGGGACAGTCAACCCACACATCCACAAGCGAAACAACTGTCTCGGGTAAAGCACAAGGCTACTGCTGGAGCTGCCCCTGTGGACCAGGCTTCCTGCTCGGCTGTGTTACGGTCACCAGGGTCTGCCCTGTTCCTTGTCCCCCGCTGAAGGGACACAAGTCTGTAGGCACAGCCTATGTCTGTTAGGAATCGATGTAACTGACCATAACTTAAGTGCTCTTACACCAAAATACCTGTCCACACAACAGCTTTCACAGTCTCTGAGTGACTTTAACAATGAACAGATAAAAGCAGTGTAATTAGTTCCTGCAGACAAAGGATGTGCTGACAAAGGTTTGTCAAATAACACTGTCCCCTGAAAACGCATGCTTCCTTTCAAACAAACAAACGAAAAAGTCTGCCTCCCTTGACCCCACAGCATTCAAAGTCATGCCTTCACTCATCATTTCTGAGGGAGCTCAGCTTGCTTCAGGATAAGGATCTAACCTGGTCCTCAGTCCTGATGGCAATTTTTAAAAGCTTGGTAGAGCTGTAGAGAGATTTCTTACTAGCTCTGATTTTATTAGCTTGTATGGCATGGAACTTCACTGCGCAATGTTAACGGGTTTAAGTTTTTTTAAGTGTTAAACTTAGGAGATGCTGGCCCACAAAGCAAAAAATGAACCTAGTAGTAGCTTAACTGTGAAGACTACTTGTTTAAAAACTGCTGGTTTGCTGTTTTCCACAATTACTTAAAAGTTACAAATAATCTTACAAAAGTATTATATATGATCTTAGTTTCACCTAAGGTGCATGACAAAACCTGTCCTGTCAGAACCCCATGTGGCCTGGTGTTTTATCTCAGACATAGTGAGTTCACTTCCTTATCTCATCAGGCTTTTAAGTTCTCCTAGATCATGCCAAAGCATCTCCAATAACTGATTTTGCAAGGACTACTGTTACGTACATGAGCTGAACTGATTCTAGGAAACACTGTGTAAGTGCAGGGAAAAGGAGACACAACCACATAGCTAATAGTCACTCTTCAAGCTTGATACTGAAAATTGTCCATTTTCCTAAAATGCCTAGAAATATTTCACTTCATTTTTTTTCTTTGTACATTTTTATCCCTTGTTGCCCAAGTAAGGGTGCTGCAGTGCCATTAAATAAAAAATTACAGCATTACACCAGCATACATTAACTAGAAATTACACAGAATTGAAAGAGTAATAATCTTTCTTCTCTGAGCTAACAGCAAAATGTGATCATCTGTCAGAACTAAAACAATTCTTTCTTTCCAGAGCTCTCAATTCCAAAAATCTTGTGGCTGCATCCCTGATTATCAATAAACGTTAGTTTTAGTGTAATTGAAGTGTTTGAAGTTGGATGTCAGGAGGACCTTGAAGAAAGAGACCTTTAAAATGGATCGAACAATGAGCTTATATTTTGTTGCAGGTATTCCAAGGCAACTCCAACCCCAGTGACATAGTACTCAACAACTTCATCCCTCCGATAGTGGCCCGTTATGTGCGAATCATCCCTCAGACTTGGAACCAAAGAATAGCATTGAAGCTTGAGCTGATGGGTTGTCGAATAATGCAAGGTATGGGGTAAGCAGCGCTCCCAAGGCACGGTGCCTCCAAAGCCCCCTGTGCTACTACAGCGTCACTGATGCCCCCTTCTCTTTTGCAGCTAATAGCTCATTCACACATTCGATGTGGCAGAAACCAAGTCAGAGCACAGAAACCTCCCTTGGAAAAGAAGACAGGACTGTCACGGAGCCCATTCCGTCAGAAGAAACTAACTTGGGTAACACTACTGCATTTTCTCTAGGATGCATCATGTCTTCAGCCCATCCTGAGTGAACTTTAAACTGTCTCACAAGTCAAAACTTTTCTTTTCCCTTCAGACTTTGTTAAAGGTTAATGACAGAGAGAAGAGGGAGGAGCATAGGTTCTTTCTGTCTTAAGACACAGAAAGAGATTGAAAGCCTTAATTTTCCTCTATGCGTGAAACATCAGGCTTTGATTTCCCTGTCATACTGGTTTATATGAGGTGACTCAAGGACTACACTGAGTATGCATCAGCATTTTTTGGAGGAGCTCTTCTTCACTCTTTTCCTAAATGTTATAATTTTTTGTAATATGTGAGGCAGTGGTCCCACAAAAATGTTACCTTCTCTTTATGCAACCATAACTCCTCCCAGCTCTAAAGGGACATACAGTAGTGCATGGTTGCGTAATTAAATAGTTTTTTATAATGTCTGTGTTCATGGGGGCTCAGAATACCTTCTCTCTCATACTTCTCCCTGAATATGCAGTCTCCATCCTTTAATGTCGTGAGGCTGATTTCTTAGAGTTTAAAAAGCAAGTAAATAAAATTATCGCTTATATTGGCTGTTTGGTGGACCCATAGCCAGGTAGGAACTATCGGACTCACCACACCGAACACTGCTACCCATTAGGTAGCTGATAGCTGTAGGCATGTCTAAAAAACTGGTTGTAAGAAGCAATCAGTGTAAGAAAAAAAAAAAGCTTTTCTGAAACGGCATCGCTCTTGCCAAGAGCACGCTCAGTTCATCTGTGCAGCAGTATGGGTAAATTGTACCCATGCATTCACTGAAAATGAAATTTAATGAGATTGCTAAATAGTAAATACCCTGTACACATGTGTACTACCCTATTCTCACAGCCTGGTAAATGTCTGTAGGAATAGTGAAAAGCACAGTCCTGATACAAGAGCCACCCCACTGCTGATTTCTAAATCCCTGCTCTACACCATGTTGTGTTAGAATTGAACAAGGGCTAAACAGGTTTTTCCCTAGCTCCACTCTTGGAAATCTTTGAACTATTTTGACTGAAATATTTCAACCCGTGCAGCATAAGCCAGATACTCTGCATGTAAAACTGCAGCCTCATTTGGCAGTTTTATAAGCAACTGAAAGCAGAGTTGTTCTAAGTAGCTTTTAAAAGTTACATAGCGTTTAATATGAAAGAACTAGTCTTTGTAAGAATGCATACAGATATTCAGCCAAGTGTCAGCCTTGAGAAAGTATATTTAACTCTCTCATCTCAGCACTGCTCCACATAGGTACATGGCAACTAAGTACAGCCAAGGACTGGTCTTGCAGTTTTACAGTTCCACATTTTCATGCTCTCTTGCAAGGAGTGTTCCTGCAAGATTATCTGCTTTCTGCTGTATTCTCTGTAGTAAAAATCACTAGCCTCAGAGTAATTTGCCTTTTTAACCTTTATCCTGTTTTTTCTTCATGCAGGCTTAAAGCTTACAGCTATAATTGTCCCCATCCTCATCGTGCTGTGTCTGTTCCTGTTCTCTGGAATTTGTATCTGTGCAGCCCTTAGAAAGTAAGATACCGTCTTTTGTCATAGGAGGCATTATTGGTGGCCACCTAGCTAGCACGTCCAACTACTTGTTCTCTTTCCAGAGCCCCTTTACCAGGGAGCTGGATATTGATACTCTTTGGCAGTCTTCCTTTTAAGTAGAACTCATGTTGTGTCTTTGTAAACTGTATTTCTCACTGCATGTCTCCCCTAGTCAGACAAAAACAAAGGTGAAGGAGGTCAGAACTGCGCACCCCAATTTACAGTCCAATATAACTGGTTGTTCTCTTCAGCCCGCATAAACCCACAAATACTAACGTGTAAAGCAATTGAAAATGGAAGCCAAGTAAAAATTTGGTGAAGGGAGGATCTGAGCTATCTATCTGGATGATTATTTTCATTTCCCTCCTGTTGTGTTTCTGCTTCCTGGTCCCTTAAGTTAGAGCACTTAACCTAGAAGGCTGAGAGCCTCGCCTCACTGTAAGGAGTTGCAGGCGTGCACTGGTAAGCAGCTAAAACTAAGCCACTTCATTTCACAAGTCGGAAGACTGGTATAAGCACTGCTAACTATGGTTTCCGCTCAATGTCCATTCATATGAACCTGTCCGAGGGATTTCAAAGTATAAGCAATGGTCTGGTGATGTGGCTTTACTGCTAGAGGTACCCAGCTCTGCCCTGGCTTCCCAGTAAATCTATAACCTAGCCAAAGAATTCAGAAGAGCAGACCCAAAACATAACCTGGAGTGACACATATGCAAATAGTCCCATCAAATTGATAAGTGCCAGGCACAATAAAATTGAACACTGGTACTCATAACTTGCATACAGATGGGGAAAAACAAATTGTCAGAACCCTGTGTTGCATGCCTTACATCCAGAAGCTCAAAGTTAAGCCCTGTCCTCAGCTGCTGAACACAAAACTCTCTTTGCTAGAGCTAAGACATGAAGCTGAAATGCTGTGAGTACAGATGTTTATAAATACTTTCCTCTTCTCACAGGCGAGAAGCCAAAGGACTTTCTTATGGATTATCCAGTGCTCAGAAATCAGGTTAGTGGAGAATCACGAACTCTGTCCTGTCCGTTGGGCCAACGGGAAGGGGTTTATGCAACTAAACATGAAATACTTATGAAACAGCATCCACGTTTCCTTGTTCAAACTCACCTCTTCATACAAGGGAAACTGCAAATGATAGTCCCACTTGTGTCATCCTAGCACAGTGCCCTGAGAAACAATGTAATTTGGTTTCTATGACAGAAAGGCAATTAGCAAAAGATCTATTATACAAAGTGCATAAATTAGCATATAAGAGTGCTCCCAGGTGCCCTCCCTTTCCTTCCTTCCTCCAAAATACCTATTTTGCAGAAAATTGCTGCTTTCTCTTTCCCCACAGCAGAGGGGATAGCTTGTCTCCAAGACAGCAAGGGCTAATAATTTTTCATGGCTTTAATATTTTCATCTCGCTGTCCTCCCTGGTTGGGACTGTATTTATTAAGCCAAACAACACTGAATTGTATTTCATGTGTAAAATCTGAATAGGGGATTGGCTTGAGCACTCTGCTTTAGGAGATGCCTGCAAAACCCTACTGAAGCATATTCTTTGTCTTGTTCAACGTTTTGCAGGGTGGGGTCTCCCATCAGCTTGGAAGTTGAGGTTTAGTTGTTTTTCCAGGCCAGCCAACTCTACAGAGCAATATCTTTCTGAATCTCAGCTTTCCATAAAAAAAAACCAAAACACTAAGCAATTCAGATGTCTCTTGACAAGTACCTTACAATAGCTCAGCTCCTAAATTTCATCCCTCAGCACGTACTGACGTCAGTGAAAAGAATGCTGGTACCCACTGCAGCTCACCCTCATTAGAAAATTAATTTGTACTTAACATCATATTTGCTAATATGATTTTTCAAGGTCACATCATAATCCTTTCTCACTTGCTAATGAGGACAAATCCCAAGAAATTGGAGATAGCCTCTTACCTAGTCAGTTCATTTGTGGCACATGTGCTTCATAAATGAAGCTCCTAAACCCTTGTGAGCCAGGCCTGGGACATGCAAAGCTGGGAGCCAAACCCAACTCTCCGCAGACCTCCTGTCGCAGGCTCCAGGCAAGGGCCTGACACTATGGGTTTTTCTTTTCCAACTCACAAGGATGTTGTGAGAACAAATTAATCGATGAGTGCAGGTGCTCAGTTATCAAGGAAACGGAAGCTATACTAGACTACTGAAAAAAAGAAATCTGAAGCATTATTTTTGCACATAAGCAATGGCAAAACATGTAACTGATTTAAAGCTGGTATTTTACTGATACACTTTAAGGCATCAGTGCAGGCACCTACAGAGTTTCAGCCCTTCTTGCCAAGAAAATCCTCTATAAAGTTTCATTTTCACTTGGAAATCCCAGTTGATGATTCACTTTTCCCCTTTCACCATCCAAATTCAGGATTTTTTTTTCCAAACAGCCCATTTTAGTCTTGCTTTTTAACTACTCTAATGTATTGACAGCAGTGAGTATATTGAAAATTCAACTTTCTGATAAGTCTTGTGATTGTAAGCATTTAACTTGCTGATAAGCCTTCTATTTTTATTTCTTTATCATAGGTTGTTGGAAGCAAATCAAGCAGCCCTTCACCAGACATCAGTCAACTGAATTTACCATCAGCTATAATAATGAGAAGGAGACACCACAAAAACTGGATCTGGTCACTAGTGACATGGCAGGTAACACTTGTTCCCCCTGGGATGTGTGCAGAGCAGGCAACAGGGAGAGGGACAGGCCAGCGATGGTACAAGTGCCAGTTCTCACACAAGCTGAGGCCCAGGAACAGATTTATCTGTGTTCATCCCAGATGTACAGTAAAGCAGCTAAATATATCAGTGAAAAAAAACAACCCACTATTTTGAAAATTTTTTCTTGAGAGTTTTCAGGAAATATTTCCTGGCTGAAATAGAGCTGAAGGTAACCATGAAAGGCAGTAAGGCATGGGTGCAGTGCAAGAATGAGGCTCAGATAGGATAGTTTGGCTTTGCAAACTAATTTTTGTGACTCTATGTAAACACAAATGTGTCTGGAAATGGAACAAAATATAATGGCCCTTGTTGCTGAGCAAATAGAACAATTACTTAGTTGGTTTCAGCTGGACTTGATGCCCAGTTGGATGTTGTGCTGAGATCCCTGTGCAGCTTTCCTGGTGCCTGAACTATTTTGGAGACAAGGCCCCCTGCAGTGGAAGTAGGTAAATGAGAGAGAAGGAAAAAATCCACCACCGTGTTTCTCTCCTGTGCTACCTTGGCTCCAGGTCACTGTTTGAATAGAGCAAATCCCTGCATCAATACTATTTGCATCGCAAAGGAATGGTTTTTAAATTCATCCTCTTAGCACATCTTATCCTCGCCTAGTTTAGTCTGTCTGGAGAGGCTGCGAGAACAGTCATCGCATGGGATCAGTGATCAGCAGTCTTCCAGAAAGACTCATGTGCTGTTTCCAGCCTCCAGACCTTAGAAATTCCTTAGAATTTCTCCAGTGCCTTTGGCAGAGAAATACATTTTAAAAACAAATGGATGGTTACTGTAATTCCATATGGTGCTACCCTGGATATCTTTCAAAGATAGTTTCGATCCTTTACAGAAACTTTCAATATAACTATGCAGAGACCTATAATGCAGTTTTATTTAATGAAGAAAAGGGAGTGTATAAAGGTTGCTCACAAATCATGGCTACCTGGCTCCTCGGACAGTGTCTGGGGAGCCTCTGCTCTCTCCATCCTCCCCTCCTGCCTTGAGTGGGAAGCCTTAACTCCCAGCCTGGCCAGGCAGCTCCCCAGCCTTAGCATTTCACCTAGTCTCCTTAAAAACAAGAACCATGAAATAAAAACATGAACGCAGCCCAGAAATGTGCCATTTATTAATTTAATGGCAAAGGGCATGCAATGTGCATAGAGGTTCACATGCTACACGAAAATCCCCTCCTTGAAATCCCCAGCTGCCTGCCAGTTCGCAAAGGCAGCCAGGAGCGAGTCGAGATGCTTCATCCTGAGCGAGAGAGATTTCTGGGGATGGCAGCAGAGACGCAGGGAAGAGCTGCACCACTTAACTTAGTGAAGTATGATAACACCTTCACCCTACATGCTGAAGTTTGGGAAGCAGCCAGGAACTGCCAAAGAGATTCACAGGACATATGGGATCGGATTCGACGCTCATGTCAGATGAGCCACGATGCCAGAACAGAAACTGAGCTAACTTCTTCGCGCCTGCGTCAAAACATGATACTTTAGCAGTGTCACTTACTAGAGCTGTTCAGGCCACCGTATGTATTCGAAAGAGATTGTCACTAGCACCAAAGCGAAAGTTAGAATGCTGAATTTTCTCATAATAGTTTTACTGCTTGGTTGGGGTTTTTTTTAACTTTTTAGTCCAGATCTCTTTCTTGCACAGCAGCCTGGCATCTGCCTTGACTAGAGGTGCAAACACGCACTTCTTGAGGCCATATTTCCTCCATCTTGCTCCTACTCAGGCCATTTGCCCATCCTCAGCTCTAACCCTACCCTCTCCCTTGACCGGGGTGGCCACTCCAGTTCCTCCAGCAGCTCCGGTACCATTTCTCATCTCACAGCTCGTCCTGCCTCACATGCCCGCAGCAGTGCTGAGCTGGCTTAGCACATTTCACACTTCCCTTGACTCTCTTGGCTGCCGTTCTGCCTAACTTCATCCCTCTTGTCAGTCAGCTACTGCGAGAAGCCTTTTAAATACAGCCAGCACTTGGTCAGGCTCATTAAGAATCCTCCAGGCATTTTAATTATTCCAAGTGGGACATTGGTTTTGGAGAACTTTTTGTTTGTTTATATTCATGCAACATCCTTTGTCTAGTTCATTGCTAATATTTTCTTGAGTTCTCTCTTTTTTGAGGGCTTCTGATTATACTCCAGAAATGACATTGATTTATCTGGGTTGGTCAGTGGGGAAAAGGAGGGAGGGAGGGAGTAGGAAACCGGGTGGCAGATTGGAGCTCCTCAGTGGAAGAGCTCCTGCCACGTTCTGCAATGCCTGGTCACTGAAGAAGGTTACAGGACTAGCACTGGGGTAAGGTTTCCTCACATCCCTGACAACCACACATTTGATACAATAACAGAACCATTTTTCAACATAAAATACTTATCAATGCATAAGTATTGAATACATAAAATAATCCATCTGTGCCTTACTGAGCAGTTCATGCTTCCTTTTAGATTATCAGCAGCCTCTCATGATTGGGACTGGGACGGTAACACGGAAAGGATCTACTTTTAGACCCATGGACACCAAAGAGGAAGGAAGAAGGGGGAGTTCAGAGTTCGAAAATCACTATCACTGTCCACACAGAGCTAACCGGCACGAATATGCTCTACCCCTGACCAGCCAAGAGCCCGAATATGCTACCCCCATCATAGAGCGGCACATAGCAAGAGAAAATAACTTCTCCTCTGAAAACGGCTACAACGTACCTGTCGTCTCATCCCAGAAACACTCCCTTTCTGCCAGCAGCTTCTCCAGTTCGTGTAAGACCGATACCAGGAATGGAGACTATCAGACACCCCAGAGTGTCATAAACTATGACAAGCCCAAAGTGAACGGTGTTCTGACCTCCGTGAGCTACAGCACAGACTACCAGAAACCTCAGCCCAATGCCCTCGGGAGCGAGGGTTACTCAACGCCCAGAGATTGCCTCAAACCAATAAGCCAGACAGCAATGACAGCTCTCTTGTGAGAGCAGGAGACACGCGGTGCGCAGGAACGTCGCTGCACAGCTTTTTGAAGTGAAAACAGAGTTTGGAGGGACTCTGCTGCGGGAGGCAGAAGGCAAACAAGCCCTGTGTACATAATATTGCAGTCTTGCTGGGTTCTGACATCTGAAGAAAGCATATGCTGTTTATCACTGTTTATAGCAAGAGAGATGTTATCAGTGAAGACTGTACATCTTATTTTCTGTAACTGATCTCAGTGCTCCATTTGCAATGTGTGCAATTTGTACATAGCTTTTATTTAAGGAGAATTTCTTAGGTTTCCTTTTCACCTGGGGGATTGAAAGGATTGCAGAAATGCCTATGTAAGAAAAAACAAGCCTCCCTTTCCATCTTTATTTTACCTGCTGTTGTACTGGCAGCTGTAAATGGTGTATCTTACAGTTGTGGTGATTCATCCTCTTTTCTATGATAACTGAAGATAGAGCATCACTGTAGTTCTTACTGGAAGAGTAACAGCAAAACTACTTGAAGCATAACGTGCACAAGAGAAGGCAGCTGAGCATTTAAATACTGTCCTCAA